TTGTTAAATATCGATCAGCTTTTGTTTCGAAATCGGCAATGTTGCCTGCATAGAATGTATTCATATTATTAGCAGTTCTTCGTAGAATAAGATTATTTTTCTTTAAAGAATATTGAATTGATTGAATTAAGTTCTTTTCATAGAGAGCACGTTGATAAAGATTCGATGGTATTGACTTGGAAAAAAGATTTTTAAATTCATTATAAGTTTTATCGTGAATTTCCATTCGTAAAGGTAAATTAATATTATATTTTTCAAAAGGATTCATTAATTGATGTTTTAATGGTGCAAATTGTTTTTTGACAATGTCATCCATAGATTCATTTGAAAATAAGATATACATTAAACATGGTGGTACATAACTTGGTCCACGACTTAATAATTGTAATTGTTTATCCGAGAATTGATGTGTTGTATCAATAATAATTGAAGATGAAGCTTCAATCATTTCCATTGTTTGTTCAATTTCATTCATATTTATATAATTTAATTCATCATAAGAATTTCGAAGAAAATAATCAATTCTATAATTATAAACGTCTCTCCAACGATTAGTAATATTATTGAGACGTTGTTCAAGTATATTAATTAATATTGTACTCATTCCTTGATCTTTAACAAGATTACGATGATTTTGCCACATTTTAGATAATTCCTAATCGAATAGATTTTGAAATCGATAATAAGTCTGTTTAGCTTCTAATATATTTATAGCTAATAAATCAAGTTTCTTATATCGAATTTGTTTTTCATATTGACTCAATAATTTTTGTTGCACGCTGCCCTTTTTAATAGTAGTATCATTGAAAGTTGGCATTGATATTTGAATAAAATCGAATGATATACATGATTTATTGAAGATGACACCTTGTTTCAATTCGAGTAATGCTCGTTTTAATTTTTCTAAGTCGCGTCTCATATTAACAAGACGTTTAGCAACTTCCATCTATATGACAACAATAAAAAATGAAACATATGAAATTTTTGAAACAATTTCAGAGAAAATATTCTTTTCTTACTTGATATTGATTTGGACTTTCGTGTGAATATTTTCGTTCAAGTATTTCTGTTTGATAATTATACATAATGATTGCTTTTTTCAATTGATGTTTTATTTCATGTGGTTTAATTCCATATTCTTGTACATAGATTTCTAGAGCTTGATCCATGTCGAATTGAAATTCAAGTAAAGAATTCTTCTTTTGAATTAATTCTCCATGAGAAAGATCAATTTCTAAATTTATTTCTTCTAAACATTCACGAAGTAGATCTTCACAAGCAGTTTGTTGATCATCTTGATTTGTTTCGGTTGTCATCTTTGATTTAGCTTTTTTTTGTTAACACAAGTGATTGAACTTGCATTGGCCAAACTCGTCGATCGACTTCTATTACATCATATTCTGGTTCCATTAATGTACCTGTTACTGATTGTAAATATATAGTTGTAATCTCTCTTTTTAAACGAAAAGTAGCAACTTGATGCATTAATAAAGCCAATTTTTCTATATCATTCATACTAATAGATTGAACATCTTTTATTATATTTTTTATTATACGAAGAAATGTTTTATTATTGATTGATAAATAGTTTGATATTTGATTTTGTATCGTATGGTTATCATTAAGATCATTATCTTCATCACTGTCATTTTTCAGACATTTTCATTTTCTTAGAATTTAGATTTGGACTAGCTACAATATTTAAACGTCGTTTTTTATCACTAGTATTGGATGAATTGATTTCATGTTGATCTGTTGTTGATAATTGACTTAATTTTTGTGATAAAATGGTTTCATCATCTTGTTGTTCTTCTTCTTGGATCAACTAAATAATGGAACGAAAAAAAATAGCAATAGCTTTTAATACAAATGTAAAAATAGTATTACTTCAACATAATCCGAATCATTTAAAATATCATATTGAATAATTTCCTCTTCATATATCATTGATTTTAACTGACCAGTTAGAAAATATTGATTTAATACGTCTTTTGAAAATTGAAGTCCATCATTTGTTTCATCAATAGTATCAAACATATCATCGAATGGTTTAATATTATTCGATAATTTATTGACTGTTGAGTTTGATTCTTGATTTCTATTAGCCATCGATAGATGAAAACAAAAGAAATGAATTTCTCATATCTAAAATAAATGACAAAAAGTTAGAAAAGAAAAGAAATTTTCTATATCAATGAAATGCAACGCTAGATATAACTGTGTATATATGATTCTATTTATAAACTTTCAAAAAAACAAACAAACAATCTATACTTAATCATTCTTCTTTTCACAATATCTTACAGAGAAAAACATTACAAAAACTTATAGTCTATAAGTATATGGACACGAATGAAATGTTTATTGTTCAGTAAGATCAAGGAAAATATTTGAGTGACAATGGTTGTGTTGTATGTTGTATGTATTCTTTAATTAGTTGTCGCAATTGAGCAATGAATTGATCATCCAAAGATGTATCTTATTTTTCATGTTTTACTAATGATTGTATAGGCTGATCGATTGGTGTTTGTAATCTTTGTTGTTGTTGTTGATCACTCTATAATAGATAATAACATAAAATATGTTTGTCTAAACTTGAATAGAATGATTACTTGTTTTGATATATTTGCTGATTTACTATTCAAAATTTGAGACCATCTAGGATTATTGAATATAATAAGACAATATTGCTGACGCTTAAGATCAGCTATATATGTC